TACCAATCAAAGGTCTTGTACATCATATGACGAAGTGATAATGCAACAAAGACACACCAGCAACCTATCATGCCGCTTGCCCAAGCGGAGGGAGAGGAGGAGGGAGAGGCAGGCAGGCGGGCAGGCGGGCGTGCAAGGGGGCCTAAAATAGCGCCGACACTCAAGGAATGCGTGCTCACACCGCGAAATGTGAAAATGTTAGGTTCTGGCAAGGCACCGCGGTAACGGTGAAACGCGGAATGCGGGACCGCTTAATGTGAGGACCAACTTGTATATATATATATATATATATATATATATATATATATATATATATATATATATATATATATATATATATATAGCTATTACATACACATACATACATACATACATACATACATACATGCTATTGCTATTACACATATATATATATATATATATATATATATATATATATATATATATATATATATATATATATATATATATATATATATATATATATATATATATATATATATATATATATATATATGATCTAGGTATATGCTGATAACCACAAGGAAAAGAAAACACGAAGTTCCCAAGCGCTTTCGTGTAATTCACATCTTCAGTTTAAAATGAAAGTTTTATTGTGGTTTTTAATATTTTTGTGGTTTTATTGTTTTATCATTATTATTTAATATTTGGTTAATATATTTGTGGCAGAAACAAACTAAATTATTGTTTTGGTTTTTCTTACAAGAGTAAACACTCTACAAACATTTCGAGTATTTACCGGTACTTAATCGAAGGTATAGAATCCATCAAAACATAAATATACCAAATTAACTACTTAATTAAAAAAAAGTAATTTTGATTCCAACACTTTGTTTAGAGTTTATGATATTTTATAAATTATGACTTGAGCATATTGTAGTGTACAGTATGTGGCCAGTTGTCAATTCTCTTTAGTTGTCTATTGTCTCTTTGTATGGGCATACAAACGTACGTATATGTAGATATCTTACACTTAGGAATGAGGTAGAATAGAAACTCACATTGCATTTTCTGTATATATATATATTGTTGTACAGTGCAGTCCTTATTTTCATGATCTCCTTAAATTACATCTAAAATTTGTATGTCTAATGGAAATGTTAAGATGTTTATATTTAAAATGATCACCATCTTGTAAGGATTCCAGCAATGTAAATTATATATTCTATGGGCTAAAAACATATATATCTTCAGAAAATAAACAAATTATACTTCACCCGTGTAAATGAGTAAATTCACCGCTTAAATCGGGCATCCCGGTTCTGGCAAGGTACCGCGTACGCGTAAACGAGAACCGCTTAAATCGAGGTTCAACTTTACTTATTTCCCCATGCATTCTGGATATCTGAGGTCTTATTGTACAGAAAAACTAGAATGCAGGGAACACGAAGCATCCATCTATATTGGACGTCATCCCTAAAGATGTTGGCCAATAAGTAAGTAGAACACAACCTCATAATTGGTGCTTACTCCAAAAGAGTTAGATGCTAATTGTTTTATAGAACACTAAGAAGCTCCTTACCCTGTGCCTTTTATTATCACTACGATAGTGAGAGCTATTCTCTAGATCTGTAGTAAGCTCATCTTTGCTGTCCATCTCCATGGGCTCAATGCCTGTAACAAAATCAACAAAATTAAAATACAATAGCTTTAGCAAGTAAAAATTTTAGTCAATGTAGAAAAATGGAAAACTAATTCTGAAATTTTCCAACAGAGAGAGTAGCCAAGTTGCTTTCACAAAACAAATCGTTCCCTCCCCATCACACCATCCACTCTACATGAGGGGAACATGGTGCAACATTTGCCTTCTGGAGGCAGGAGGTCTCATTAGAGCTGTGCCTGCTTAATCAGCATGCACTGTCAGTCATCTAATTTCTGAATAATCTGGCATTCTGAATTTAGTTCCAAGAAAGGAGACTATCCAGACCACCTGATCATAGAATCAACTGGATGTGAGGGAATGACCCATAATGCAAATTTATTCAGGGGGTCCCCGGGTTACAAACAGGTTCCATTCCTGGGGACGTTCGTAAGTCGGAAATGTACGTAAGTCAGAACACATGCTATGTGCATACTGTGCTTACAAAACAATGTTTAAAATCCCACGATATCATAGTCTAAATCCTTACATACATCTAAAATCCCTTATTTAAAGACAAAAGAAGAAATAAAATTACAAAATACAGTAAACGAAAGTAAAAACTAAGTCATCAGGTAAATAAAATACTGTAAATATAAAGTTTAACCTCGTTGGTATCAGTGGGCGTTTGTAAGTCGGACATTCATACATCAGGGACCCCCTGTAACTAAATTTATAACTAAGCCTGGAGAGAAAACCTTCAGGTAATCCCCACCTAAAACAAGTTCATACAACAGAAAATTTGAATTAACATGAGGAACCAATTAGGGAGACGGTTTACTTAGCACAAAAACATTCAAAGTTTAACACGAGCCACAATATGTCGGGCTTCATCACACCAACCGTTGGCTAGTTGCCTGGGTCACACACATACTGTAGTAACAGGCTATTCTCGGTTGTTTCTTGACTTTTTTATTAACCTTCATCAACATAAATGCTAGAGGACCAAAAAGTAACAAGAGACATGGATAATCTATTTCAGTAAAAATGAAAGTGATTGAATGTTTTGAAAAAGGGAATGCACTGTCAACATTATAGGTGCAATGGGCCTTCATTTGGCAACCATACTTACAATTTGTGCTAATGCACATTATTACAACAATTAACATCTCTTACTGTAACACATTCTATGGTAGGTTATTATTGTACAACAGTTCACAACTCTACTGTAACACATTCTATGGTAGATTATTATTGTACAACAGTTCACAGCTCTTACTGTAACACATTCTATGGTATATTGTTACTACACAACAGCTCAGAACTCTGATAATTTTCTGGCTTCTTAACTTGAGGCTGTGTGTGACCTCTAGGGTAAAAATAGTAATAAATATCTTTAATGCTTCATTTCTTGGTGAAGCATTAAATATTTTTAACACTGTATGTTTCACTAAATAAGTCTATAAAGATTTAATAAGTAAATATTAAATGGAGACAGTCAATCAGCTGATGCAAAAGCAGTTTCCCCTGACCTCAATTGATGGCAGCATGATTGGGTACATCGTGTGACAGCACAGACCACCATCTGTTGGACTGGTGTCCGAATCCGCTACAATTGCAACAAGGATGTCTATACCAGGTACTACATTCTCAGTTCGAGATATCCTTGGCACTTCACGCATGGAGTTTCTCAAAAGGAGTATAAATAGGCTGTTGGGTAATCCCGATGTAGCTAACCAAGTATTAGCAGGTCATAGACCTCAAACTTCTATGCAATAAGAGAAAGCTTGGAATCTTTTTCAACAATTTATCAAGTTAACAACTCCAGAATCATTATCGGAAACAGTTGTGTTAGAATTTTTAGAATTTGTTCCGAGTTAAAGGTCTTCAAGGATCGACAATTGCATCTTATAAATCAGCACTGGTTGACCCTCTGGCTTGGGGTTTTAATATTACTTTAAACCCAAGGATTTTTTTTAAATGCTAATATCGTCCTTTTTCATTCAGAGACCCCTCGGCCTAAGAGAATCCCACCTTGGTCTCTGGAAAAAGTTACTAAATTTCTTATGGGGCCTAATTACAACATAAATCTGAACAGAGATAAATTACTATAGAAAACAGCCTTCCTTCTAGCAATAGCAACAGGTATGAGAATTAGTGAACTGATTTCAATTTCCAATAATCCATCATTATTGGTATTTTCTGAGTAAGATGTTACCCCTTTTTCCTACGGAGATCCTAAGAAAAAATGAAAGGGAATATTTCCAAGCTCAACCTATTAGGATAAAATGCCTTATGGATGAGACAAGGGTTCCTCAAATATTGTGCCCTAATCAACGCCCCCTATGTTTTCTCATCCAGGGTTGGTAAGAAATTGTCTAGTCAAATGACAAAATCTTTATCTGAATTAGTGAATCAAGCAGACTCTGGCAAGAAATTTTTGGCACATAACACTAGGAAATATGCAGGGTCTGTGGCCTTTCTGCGGCATATGAGCCTCAGTTAGATCAAGGAAATGGGCTTTTGGAGATCTTCAAAAACTTTCAAGGACAGCTTCTTCATCACCATAATAAAGTGAATATCCTAATTGAGATATGTAAATTAACATTTTACCTTCCGGTAAATGTTCCTAATTTTGAAAATATTCTACACAGTTTATAATCATAATCTGGACCTAAGTTAGCGGAGCCTTGTATGCAAAGTCACCTCCTGCTCGGGTATTCAAAGCTAAGCATCCCATTCTGGGTTGAACAAAAAGCCGTTTTTTTCTAAAAACCAGTTTTTGTGATATGAGCCAGAATGCGACGTTGATAACCCACCCATATCCACCCCTCGAGAGTTGACTTTTATTTATTGCTCGCTCTAAAGCAAGAGATGGAGGTGGCAGTGCGTGCGATGGGGTGCGAAAGGCGGGGGTTTCGACAATTGCAATTAAATGCCAGGTAGCGACGTGTCCTCCTAATATTACTTATTAAGCAATTATTAGATGTTTTAATTGCCTGTATGTTGGCCTGGCGAGTTATTGCTAGGCATTAACATACCTAGGTAAGCGTTGCATTCTGGGTCATATCACAAAATCTGATTTTTAGAAAAAAAACAGCTTTTTCAAAGATGGGACTGTGAATCAGTGTATAGCTCTTTTACTACCCTTCTGAGGAAATGCTGAAAAAGGTTAGGCAGCAAGATTTTTGGCATCACCCTGTAGGTAGAAGGAAGCTACCAAACAGGGAGATACTACCGCCTGGGAAGATATTGAAAGCATAATGTGTTGTCTAATGGTGGACCCTGCTGCCACATGGCATCACAAAAATTGTGACCAAGTCCCAGGTTGCTGATCTGACTTTCACTTCATTTAAACACAATTGAAGGGTCTCAATTGTTTCTCTTATTTTGACAACACAACATACATACAATATATCATTTCTCACTCTTGATCTTTTTTATTATTTTTAGTTCTTTATTATTATTATTAGTTGTTTTATTATTATAATATTTTCGCTCCCCATGCCTGGGTGAGCTAATGCCTGTATAAAAAACCATCTCCCAGTGGCTCCAGCCGACTGGTCACTCCAACTCTCTTGACTCCAGAGGTCCCACCCCATACTGGTGTTTTTCATTGCCAAATTTGTGCAAATGTGGCAAGGAAATATCCATTTGGTATTAAATGGAAATTATTTGGTACTGTATTAACAAATTCAGTTAACATATATGATCATAAGAAGTGAACTTGGTGATGATTTTGTTGCACAATATTTGGCCTACCTTTCTTACATCGTGTAATATCCAGTGGTGGTGGCTGCCTTTTGGAGGGTGAAGGCAGCCGAGCAGATGCCGACGGAGACGTGGACAACTGAAGACCCTGCAGGAGAGACCCACCCACTCTTGTTAAACATTACTGTAGTACAGTTGAGTCTAGGTTTACGCGGTCAATTGAACCTGTCGAGGTCCGCGTAAACGAGAAACGTGTAAATGGAATAACAGAACATATGGGATTAATTGAAATACAGACTGGGCCAACCCCCAAACTCCACTTTTTCCTGACACAATACTGTACATTGTAGTCAAAATAACATCTTAATTTTATGATGGTATGCACACACAATTAATAAAAAAGAGAAATATCAATAATATTAGGTTTTTTAACACTTACGTTAGTAGAAGAGATGGCTGGGCACACGGGGATGAGGGGGGTTGGTTCCGAGGCAGAGGGCAGATTATTGGCCCTCACCTATATCACTTGTATCAATTGTATCACTATCCACCACAGAGGCTTGCAGGGCCTCCTTGTCAAACCCCTCAAAGTCCATATCCTCACTATCACTGACTTGGGCCGGCTGTGGTGGGTGGCGGGTGAAAAACTGGGTAATGTTTTGATGACTGGGCGACCTTGTGCGCACCCTGCCTGCGCTGCTTCCCGCGTAAATGACCAAATTTACCGCGTAATTAAAGCATTTCATTCTGGCAAGGCACCGCGTAAATGACCAAACGCGTTAACCAAAACCGCGTAAATCCAGACTCAACTGTATATCTTTTTAACTTTGGTGTCTTGTACACTGTATCTTTACAATAATTTGGGTATGCTGTGCATTCCTCTTTTCAATGATGTCTCACCACCTCAAAGAGTTCCTGGCTAACTTACAAAAAAGCCTTCAGGCTGCCCTATCCCAGCACATCTTCAGTCTTCCTATTCCCCTTATCCCTTCCCCTTAATATACTGTTTCACCTTTCTGAACTATGGTGTAGACATTCTCCATTTACCCAACACACCTGACATACCATCTTTACTCTTGGATCCTTCTCACAAGTCCATACCATCTCGGTCAACCCATTCCACGACTGCACAATTTACACCCTTTGCTTTCTCAACCATTCCAAATGCTTCAACATTTCTTACCCCTTCCATTCTGGTAACTTCATATAACTCATCTACTCTATGTGGCTTGAAGTGAAGAACGTTCTGCTCCGTCCCAAGACCAGGTTTACATTTTCTACTTTAATGATACTTCCCATTCACCTGCCTTCTATCCATTGTTCTCAGCCTAGTTTCACTTTCCATCACACTATTCTAAACAATCATCACTTCCAAACAGTTGAAATCTTTATCATTATCCAGTGACTCTCCCCTACACCTACAGTACAGTACAAGTACAGGTGCTCCTCTACTTAAGAATGTTCAACTTATAACTTTTAGAGATACAAACATCATCACTGAAGGGGGTTACCTGCCAGAACAGGTGTTTAATGTGGATGAGACTGGATTATTCTGAAGAAAATTCCAGATAAAACAAACATTACCTAAGAGGAGAAGAGTATCTACAGGAGTAAAGTTGGACTTACAAACAAGCCTCAAGAACGTAACTCGTTCGTAAGTAGAGGAGCAAATGTATTACACTTTTCAGCCTGTGTCAGTAGAGCACTGTACTGTAGTGTGACCCATTATTCATAGTTTACCCAACTAGCCACAGACTTATCTCAAGCATCCCCACCTGTACTAAAGATGTAATTCTCCCAATCTATGCAGCTTTAGTTGTGTAGCTAGCCCCCTCCCCCCCAAGGACCTTGCAACACCAGCCACAAATGCTTTATTATCTTTTTATCTGTTCAAATACTTAATTGAAACTGAAGAATGAGAGAACTGACTGATGTAATCATTTATGCTTTGTTTAATTATCGATTTCTATCAAGTTACAAAAGAAAAAAAATCTACTTAAATTTCATTTGGGTGAAGTCGTTCTATACTTTGGTAGCTACAGCATGTTAAATATAAGAGAAAACTATACTATTGGCACTGTACCATATATCTCTATCAGCCTCTGATGTACTATACTCATGATTATTATGATACAGAAGTCAATAACACACCTGGTTTATATGTTGGAGTAAGTAAGTTTGGAGTTGCTGACTGAAAACCTTCCATAGCCTCCTCTGACTCCACAAAACACACTCCATTACATTTCAGTCTGTCAGTCTTCAAGGCGAGAGGACTGGTTGGGAATTCCACTGAAAAATCAACACTGATATTGCAGCTTGTGTTACATGATATAACCTGGCCAGGTTGTACCACCAGTGTAGTAAAGATCCAGGATTATAAAGGAACTACTGATGGATAATTCATCATCATTTTTATGGATGGTTTCCACACTTGTTGGGTTAGCCGTGATTACCCGATGGGAGCTGTTGGGCAAAATCAAGACAATGTCCCCCCTACCCAACCCACTCACCACCACACATCCAGGGCACCAGCCCATAAAATATGGCAGAGACCAGGGGATGGGTACAGCTCTGGTGACCCATCAACAAAAAAGGTAGAAAAGTACACTTACTTTGAGGTGTGTATGTAGAAGGCTCCTGGATGATGATGATGATGGGAATTAGAATGGGGGTGGAGGAGAAGGAAGAAGAGAAGGCATTGGGGTAGAAGAGAAGTCACCCCATGCCGCCATTTCACCCATAAAATTTTAGTTCACTTGGTGTAATTCAAGGTTATTTTCTTTAAATCAACACAAACATATTTCAAAATGACCAATAATTTGACTGGAAACAGAAAAAAAGCATTTATGTTGAAGAGTCTCAAACAGGATGTTCCTTCCTCTGAACCGATAAACAAACTGACGCCAAGCTTGGTGTGTGGAGTGGCTGTTTGGCATGCAAAAAACTAGTTTCCTGTACTTCAATTATGTTACAATAATTGTTAAAGTGACTAAAATATTTAATATAACACTTTTAAAATTATTGAATAGCATAACCTTCTTGATATTTACTAAAATGGTAAAGAATTTAAGCCCTAAAACCGATGACTGTATTGGCGGACTAATACTACAGCTGGTGAGCAGCCAAATGCAGGCGAAAACATGTTGGGAAAAATTCGTAAGGAATTCATTAACCGAAATTTTTTCATTAACCGAAGTGAAGAATCTTATGGAAGGTAATTCGTTAACCGAGGCGTTCGTTAACCGAGGGATCACTGTACTGGTATATTAAATTAGAGTAGGTGATTACCTGCATAGTTGCTGTAGCCTCATCAGTTGACTGCTCATGAATGGAGGAGTTACACATGTCGAGTCTCTCTTGTGCTTCCTTGAGCTGTGCTTTTGTTTGACTTAACTCTATCTGCATCTTCTGTTGGGATCCTTCTAATTCTGACACCTATAAACAAATACACTGTCTTAAATTCAAATTAATACCTGTACAGTTGTACAGTACTGGTGTTTTCTAGGAATGCAATCCCTGGCATAAACAAGGGTAGCTAACTTGTATCTGCAAATAAGCTAAATCAGTTGAAACTGAAAATTCCAAGATAATTATGAGTGATGCTTCATAAAGAAAGGTCAAACACTTCTTAAGGGAAGTACCATACCTTCTTAACATGCTGCTGGTGTTGCTCTAATTTCTTGCATAGTCTTTGATTTTCTTGTTCCAATGCCTGTGGTGACAAATTTAGTTAATGTTATTACAATGTGATAAAATAACCCTAATTTTACTTTAACGTTCTCAGATATGCAAGAAACCTGCCAGTTGAAAGAACACTAATGACTACTACATGCAAAATATTACAAATCATTACATGGCTCACTTCAAAAAGACTTGGTAATGTAAATACTGTAGAGCAAATAATGATACTTTTAAGTTACATACCATATGCAGTAGTGAGTTCAGTGGCTGAAGGTTTAAATTAATATAAATTATTATTCATGCATCCAATTCATTAGGGGGAGATGGTTGTATGGACAAGGTACTTGTTGTGAATTAGGTTGATAAAATAAGGCCATAACCAGGTTTTGGTAAGGAAAGGTATCAAAGTAGTAGCTTGATCCCCTGACTCACCACCCATGCCTACCCCCTACACCCTTAGTGTTTATCTAACTGGCATGCAACTATCTGCCAACTACTGGCACTGTACTGTTCTTATATGGAAATTTAAGGGTGACTAAGAAATTCCCAGAGAAGTGTACAGTACACACATAAAAGGGCACATAACGTAATAAGTTTCTACCACCCAAAGAAGATTCAATTCCAAAACAAAGAATGCACAAAAACATCAAAACACTGAAGGTACTGTTCAGGTAAGTCACTGCTTTAGGCATGCACAAACAGTGACCATAATTCATATTCATTTGTTAAACTAAAGACAGATACAGTACAGTAATAGAAAACCTTAGGAAGGAAGGTAAAAAACTGGCCAACACCTACAGTAAGAGGGGAGGTTATTGGAGGGAGATGCTTCCCCCTACACAAAGAAATTTTTTCAGAATTTACTCTTATATGATGAATTTTGAAAATGTTCTTTATTCTAATAATTGTAGCATTGTATTAAAATTTTGCTGTCTTATTCCTAGGTAGTCATAGTAAACTTGCCCAAGATTTGCTAGGGTGTGTGTCCATGGGGGATGGATTCCAAAATAAGGTAGGCAAAACAAAAGGTTTGCAGTATTCATGCATTAACAAAGAGCACATATATTAAAGATCCTAATACTCACCTCTACCTTGGTTGCATGTTGTTTAATTGTATTTTCAAGTTTCATTACCTGTAGTTGCTGGAGTAAATGTAATTTTGGGCTTTCAATACCATCCACTGAGGATACAACGTTCACCCTGTAAATGTAATTTTGGTTATCAGTGAAATCTTCCTTATACAATTGACAGATATCAAAATTAATACACCTTGTACTGTATTACAGTACCATACAGTAAGGGTACTATATTTATGATGAGAAATTGGTAAAATGATCGTTTCGGTCATCCACCTATTTGGAAGTAAAGGGTAGTTCAAAACATGTCAAAAACCACAAGAAAAACTAAATTTCAACCTAACTTAAAATCTTAAAATTCGTTGGATGACCGAAACAATAATAATACTAGAAATTAAAAATAATTAATTACAGTATTACCCCGCCTAACGCGGTTTCACTTAACGCGTTTTATCATATACGCGGTGCCTCGCCAGAGCTGAACTTTCACTTAACACGGATTTTTTCCACATATACGCGGTGAGTGTCCGGCTCCAGACGCTATTTTTAGATTTGCCCCACCCTGCCTGACTGCCTGTTTTAGCTCATAAAATTCATACAAATTGCCCGGTCAGAATATAATTTACATTGCTGGAATTCTTATAATTTGGTGATCATTTTGAATATAAACATCATATATTTTGCATTAGACATACAAATTTTAGATAAAATTTTTTCTCAGAGTAACTATGTTATCTTTTGTGCAAAATATATGACATTTATATTCAAAATATTCCTGGTCTTACAAGGAATCCAGCAATGTCAATTATATTATCCTAACTTTAGTTTGAGGTATTATTTATTACTAAAAAGGTAAATATTCTGGTTTTCCCACACATCTGGTGGGACGGTTGGTGGGGGGGTGGGGAGGGACCGACCGACCATCTGTTACCCTGTGAAAATATTTTTTTTTTTTATTAACTGAAGATATTTGTTTTAGCTCATAAAATTCATACAAATTACCCGGTCAGAATATAATTTACATTGCTGGAATTCTTATAATTTGGTGATCATTTTGAATATAAACATCATATATTTTGCATTAAACATACAAATTTTAGATAAAATTTTTTCTCGAGTAACTATGTTATCTTTTGTGCAAAATATATGACATTTATATTCAAAATATTCCTGGTCTTACAAGGAATCCAGCAATGTCAATTGTATTATCCTAACTTTAGTTTGAGGTATTATTTATTAAAATTTAGTGGTTTTTCCCCAAAAATTTCTCAGAGAGGAAAAGAGCCGGCAGTGTAGTGTGAGAGGGGAGGAGTTGAGTCCATTATTTGAATGGACATTAACTTGGCGACTGTATTTCTCTATTTCTCTTAAGTATTAATTGTGTGCATGTACCATCATAAAATTAAGATGTTATTTTTACTACAACATAGGTATGTGCCTTCAAAAAGTGGAGTTTGGGGGTCGGGCCGGTTTCTATTGGAATTAATCCCATATGTTCTGTTGTTCACTTAACGCGGATTTCACTTAACACGGGACCCTCTGGGTTCTATTGACCGCGTTAAGTGGGGTACAACTGTAATAGCGAAATCTTGAGATCTTGGTTTATAACTGAGCCTGAATAGAGCACCTTATAAATATGCATGCCAGAGGCTTGGGGTCTAGGATCCAATGAAGCTGCAAATACAGAAGAAGTCCAAAAATCCGGACTGCTTGGGGATTGGGTCGGTCCGGATTTTCGGATTTTCCGGATTCTCAGGCAGTACTTTGAAAATTCAAATTCAAGGAGGAATAAAGCATGCTTCATTTATCAAAACGAGCAGTTTTAATGAAAAAGCAGTGAATTCTAGAATTTTATTCTTTGCCTTTTTTATATCATAAATTGTAGACTTTCCAATGTCGTATGTTTCCATTAGAACAGTATTGCTCACACCACGTTCTAGTTTCTTAATTATTTCAAGTTTGTCACTCAATTTCGATGTGTTCTTCTTTCTCTTCACACAACGAAGTTTATCTACTTTAGGAACCATTATTATGGGCTTGTACAGTACTGTACTCTGTAAATGGAAAGAGTAGGACTCAAAATATTGTTATATTACAATGGTATTCTATTCATACTGTGCTTGATATAATGCATTCACGGAAATGTAATATTTTTGCTGAACGTACGTATTACAGTGGTCCCTCGGTTAACGAACTCAATACGTTCCAGCAGGTTGTTCGTTAACCGAAACCATTGTTTCAATGGGTTTTTGGGTAAGTGGTTCCAGCTCACCGAAAATTTCCTAAATTCAACAAAAATGGTAGAAAAGTTCACTTACTTTGAGGTGTGTATGTAGAAGGCTCCTGGATGATGATGATGGGAATTAGAATGGGGGTGGAGGAGAAGGAAGAAGAGAAGGCATTGGGGTGGAAGAAGTCACCCCATGGCGCCATTTCACCCATAAAATTTTAGCTCTCTTGGTGTAATTCAAGATTATTTTCTTTAAATCAACACTGCACTACATTATATATTGTCAATATGTAAAATATATTTCAAAATGACCAATAATTTGCTTGGAAACACAGAAAAAAAAGCGTTTAGTTGAAGAGAGTCTCAAGCAAGATGTTACCTCCAGTGAAAACAGAGAGAGACTAACGCCTGTTTGCTGTGTTAAGAGGCTGGATGCCGCGCATTAAACTAGTCACTTTACCTTCAATTATGTTCAATAATTGTTAAAATGACTAAAAAATTGAATATTAAACTTTTAAAATTATTGAATAGTATAAACTTCTAGATATTTACTAAAATGGTAAGGAATTTAAGCCCTTGAACCGATTAATGTATTGGCGGACTGATACTAAAGCTGGTTGCCCGGCCAGTGCAAGCGAAAACATGTTGAGGTCGGTTCGTAAGAAATTCGTTAACCGAATTTTTGTTCGTTAACCGAATTGAAGATTCTTATGGAAGGCAGTTCGTTAACCGAAATTTCGTTAACCGAGGCGTTCGTTAACCGAGGGATCACTGTACAGTGGAAAGTGGGATAAAATTGTGACGAAAACAATGACTCGCTTTCTTTCGTTCAAAAGATGTTACCGTAATCGCTTTTCGAATGGTTTAGTTAAAAAACTGTTGTATTACAATAATATTCCCTCCTAATTGACTTGAAAAAATACTTGAATGGAAATATACAATATTTTTGTTGAAACTACCCGCGTTTCAGTGCAAAGTGTCGTAATAATAAATGGTAAACAATTTGCCTTCGGCACTCGTGTTTCAGGCACGGCGAGCCTCAGTTTATAGGACATAGAGCGTTTTTACTGAAGGTTTTGTTGTTCCATTACCCTCAAAAAAGTGGGACGAACTATAAATGAGGAATATCATAAATTAACGATTTCTTGGTCAAAAAATCAGGGTCGACCGATATACGAGAGGGGGGTTACAGACGAGTATATATGGTATGTTGTCACAGTTTGATTGCTCGTTTTAAAGTGGCGACCACGTGGTCGCTTGTTGTCGCTGTGCAATTCACGCATGCGCACATACACACAAAAGCCCGCTAAAAAAAAAAAAAAAAAAAAGTTTTTGAAAAGTCCGGATTCTCGGGTGGTCCGGATTTCTGGCATCCGGATTTTTGGACTTTTACTGTACTTTAGTCCTTCAGAAGGGGCAAGAAAGAAACCCAGCCTTCCCTAACTTGTTTAATTATCAATATAAACTGACATTTTATCATACTATATACACTTCATGATGCATAGAACATTTAAAATTGCATGTTAATGCTATTTACAGGTAGTACCCGACTTATGACTGACTCAACTTACGTCCATCGGCACTTACGACCTGCTCTGACCTTACGACCGTCGGGACATACGACCGCCGCAGTCGTGACCAAAATATTTTTCAAATGACGCACACATTTTCTATACCGAAACGTTTCCGTCCTGAGCGAGAGTGTGGCGTGGCTTGTGTCAGCGCGTGGGTACATTCACTCAGTACAGCGCTTAGTTGGTGTTTGGCTATTGTATCCTATACTGATCACGCTGTGAACTTAAGTTATTATCGTATTTAATTGACTTTATAATGACTGGAAAGCGTAAAAGTGAGAGTGCTGGTGGTGCTCCAAAGAAAAGGAGACAGGCAATTACTTTTGAGATGAAAATGAAGATAATAATGCAATATGAGAATGGAAAAACTGTAGCAACAATCTCACGTGACCTAGGTTTCTCACACTCGACCATACCCACTATTCTGAAGGACATGGAACATATTCGTGATGTAGTGAAAGGAACAACACCGATAAAGGGAACTATAATTTGAAGAAAGACAAGGTCCGATTCACGATATGGAAAAAATTATTGGTGATATGGATAGAAGACCAGATACAGAAGTGTGTACCCTGCCTTCTAACCTTACAGGCTAAAGCAAGAAGCCTGTTCCAAAGCCTGAAGGAGCAGGCAGGAGATGAATGTGAGCAAACCTTTACAGCAAGTCATGGGTGGTTTAATAGATTTAAAAATGCTACAGTCTACACAATGTTAAGGTGAGTGGAGAAGCAGCTAGTGCTGATGTTGGTACTGCAGCTTTTAAAGAGGAGTTAGATGAAGTGATTGTGGAAGGGTTTGCCTGAGCAAATATTCAATGTGGATGAGACTGGATTATTGTGGAAGTATGCCTGGCAGGACATCAAAGAGGCGGAAACAATGCCAGGATTCAAGGCATTCATGGAGAGAATTACACTTCTGTTGGGGGGAATGTTGCTGGTTTCAAGCTAAAGCCCTTCATGATCTATCATTCAGAGAACCCAGGGCTTTAAACATGTCAGCAAGCACACACTGCCAGTGTTTATCACAGTAATAGAAAGCCTGGATGACCTTAGCACTGTTTGAGGATTGGTTCAGGCCTTGTTTCATTCCACGAGCCAAGGAGTATTGTCTGCAACAACGGATTCCATTCAAGATTTTGCTGATTTTGGATAATGCTCCGGGACACCCACCACACCTAGACGACATGCACCCTGATGTTAAGGTAGTCTACATTCCACCTAACACTACCTCTGTCATCCAACCCCTGGATCAAGGAGCTATTGCAGCTTTTATAGCAAATTATTTACGTATGACCTTCGCTCAGGCTGTTGCTGCTACTGAAGGTGGGAAAACGCTCAGACAGTTTTGGAAGGAGTACAATGTTTTGT